CATGCACTCATAATCGACTTGGATCAATGGCTTAGCCCACCCATCGAAGGCCATACCACTACTTCGCACACCCCGCTCGACATTCCTCCCCCGCTCGGCATGCTCGTGCCATCTACATTTCTCGGGAGGCTCTTTTGTCTCCCCTGCCTCGTCTGGTTCGTCGCATACCAGTGGCTCGTGACAGACGCCGTGCTCCTCGTGCGCATCGACGCTGCAGTGCGGTGCACTCTGCGTGCGACCGAATCTCTCTCGGCGGTGTTCCTCCTCCTCCTAATTCTTGGACAAGGGAGAGCGGTTGCGCCATCGGTTCGATGGGTGCGGTCCGAAGTGCCGCATACGCATGAGGCGGGCAAAACGAGCTTTGCTTTGGCCTTGAAGGATGCGGAAAAACTCTCAGTCGCTTAGATTCCGTGGTGCCGCGGGAGATTTAACGGATGGCTCAACTTATGCGTTGCAATTTCAATGCTGTTTCGACGGATTGTGCACTTTGTAATTTTCTGGTTGAAATATATGGAAGAACGCTCGCTATTCTGGGTAAAACAGTTCACAGCTCACTGGTCCGATTGATAAAAACTACGACATCGACCGTGCTGCCAAATGCGTGGGTCATTGTTCCCAGCGCGAAATACAGCGTCACATATGTACAAGACGGGAGATGGTTGAGGCTCTTTTCAGCTGCGGATTAACCGACGCCTTTGAGGGGTGTGGAGATCAACCTCAGCCAAGGTGGGTTCATTGCTTCTGATGTTCACTGCTTTCTGATGAACGCGACGATCCTCGCTGCGTATTTGATATGCGCCGCTCAGGGAGAGCATCCTCCGTGGTGGTATTAAACCAGCAGCGTTCAACTCGAATCGTTCGAGCTCTGTGCGTCAATCCTGTCAGACTTAAGTTAAGTTCAATGGGTAAACAAATTGAGCTCACCTCACTGCTCAGAACCACAAGCCCGATGCGCTGTCAATCACCAACGCGCACCCTCAGGCCTCAAAATAGGAGGCAAAGAAGCCGCGGCCGCGGCCATATGCCGCTGCGAGGCGAGCTTATTGTGCCAGGTATTCTCGCCCGTGAGGCGGAACAGCGCCCCTTCTTCCTTGGACATGGACTGGGACGCGCGAGCGATGTACGCGGGAGGGGGAGGAGCGAGCCGACTGATTCTGGGCTTGGGCTGGGTGCTGATGAGCGTCATCTCGCTCGAGGTCGACGTGCGCTCCTTGGGCGACGGAGTCATGATTTTCTCCTCGAGCGTCTTCTCGGCGGTCAATGACTTGCGCAGCGACTTCGCCCCGGTGTAGAGAAGGAGTAGAAGGGCGAGGGCGAAGAAGACCCATGCGATGGGTGCGACCCATGGGGGGAGGTTAGACGAGTCATCGCTGGATGGTGTAGCCGAGCTCGCAGCAGGGACGGCGCTCGTCACAGCGCTCGGGCTCGGGGTGGTAAGGGCACGGGCAGCGAGGAGGTAGTTAATCGGGGACATGTTGTGTGAATGGTAGTGGGTAGATGGTGGTGGTTGTTAAGTGAGGGACACCAGCGGACGGATCGGATTTTATACCCTGAGAGTTAGGGGCCAGTGAGACATTTACATCCGCGGGCAATTGTCCGCGGATAATTCAGGAGGTGAGACTTTTGCCTATGTTGAATTTTCTCCTGTCGAGCGCACGAGTTCATCTGTAGTGCATACTCGCGTCGTGGTCAAAAACGTGGTGAGGCAGGCTTAGGATGGCAAGTACATGGAACACACGTGATCGCGGTTGAATTTTAATTCCCGTTCATTGTGTTCATTGTCAAAGATATTTTTTTGCATCGTATACACAGTCCCAGTCTCGTTGGAGATCAATAACTCCTGGGAGCATATGCAACTGTTACGTGCCATTTTAATCAGATTGCCTGCGGGGCTCGCCCTTGAGCGCAGAGCTGCCATCAAGCGTTCAAGATGCGTCGGAACTCCACATTTATAATTTCACCGTCAAAAAACGATAGACGTTGTGATTGCGCACATTAGAGCACATTACATGAGGTAAACATCGAAGCAGTCGAACTGGGAGTGAAAAAAGTCATTCTCGCGGATTTTTATGCCATCGGGAGGAATCGAACCTCGTTCCCTCCTTATGCGCAACGCAAGAATTCTCAATACTGGAAAGGCGGCCACCGTGGTCCACGATGGCTTGCTGTACCCAGCTGGCTGAGGATCCGGCCCGAAAGTCGACAATAAAAGGACGAGAAAGATCTCGACCTGAGAACCCTCCTGCGGTTTTTGTGGGATTCGAACCCACGGCCATTAATCATTAGATTACGAGGGGTCCGATGTTTATTATCGACGCGGACGGCTATCTTGTCGCCGTCCTCCTCGGGCGGCCCGATGACGAGACAGTGAATTTTCGGGTGCGGAATGGCCGAGTTTTGGAGCGTAAGGTGCCGGCGATCATCAATTCTCATTTGGTCAAATTTTTCAACGACTGTGGACACCTGCTGTATTGAGCCATACGATTTTGAGCCGCCGAGCACTAGCTAGGTGCTCCGACGTACTCCTTTGAAGTGAGGGGCAGGGCTGGCACCCCTCTAAGTAAATACAGCACAGTATGGGCAATATAGGGGGGGAAACCCTGCAAGAAACGCCACAGTAAATCCTTACGTCGCACCGTCAAGGACCGCAAGCGCAAGGACGACAATTGCATAAGTATATCATCAAGACTTCGGGTTGCAGTCGCCATAGTTGGTCGGTCTTGAGGACGATCCTGGCACATGCGGGCGACGAGGGGGTTCAGGCTTTGAAGACCGGAATACCGCTGAAATGCTGTCGACAACCGCGAAATCGAGAATGGACCGAAACCCACCTCGACGAGGTGCTTCCGAATTAGATTGCCCATCACATACACATCAACTTTGAAAGGATTTGCTTCGGTTACATGTTGTCGTGTCTCGGGAATACTCTTGTCCCCGCCCCGCACGTACGGAACAAGGGCGTCGGCAGCGGCAGCAACAGCAAGACCGTAGTCGATCCAGTAGTATTTCGATGGACGTTGGGTGCGCGTGAATACCGGAGCCCTCGCGGCGAAGTTTGGTGTCCGGTGGGCATAGCGAGCGTCCCCGCTATAAAAGCCTGTTGGATACATATTTTGAGGGTCGAGCATGATATTCTTGCTATGAGGATCTCTGGTATTTGCTACAGGTAAGTCAACCGGGAAACCAGGATTCAGGACGATGGCATGACCTGTGCGCGATATGGTGCTCATGGAGAAAGCAGAGTCCTCGGAGAGCTTGACGACAAAAATCCATGACCTCCCCAATTGTCTCAAACGGGGGCAAATCAAATTGCCGTAGATAGGGCAGGACAAAAATGTTGACGTCATCCTCATCCCGCACTTCCAGGACTTCATAGAGTGGGGGGCACGGATTGTCCGGGTGGGATGCGAGTGGGTCCGAGGTAAGGCGGCGCATGATGCGTTCTTCCTCTGATGCCGTCGCATTTGGCACGCGCTTGAGGGCAACGGCGACGCCGTCGCTTGCGCGTACCGCATCCATGACCCAGCCCTGGAGCATGTCAAAGCTGCAGAAGAGGAACGCAGGAACGCGGTGCATACCGCCCTCTTTAATTCTTCCTCCCTGCTCGAGGGAGCACCCCAGCCTGGGTGGTAGCGTGGGCGTAACAAATAACCGAGAGTGTGTAGCCATTCCTGATGGTCTCGCCACCACTCCTCGCTGGGGTATAGTTCATGCATGAGGTGGCAAGCGAAGCGTCCTAACAAGTTAACAACGGACAGCAGCACCAAACAGCGATAGACATCACCCGTCCGGCCCGGTGTGAGTCAAAGAAATTGGCGCCTACCAAGCGCCTACCGTCGGGAGGAATCGAACCTCCATCCTCCGTGTAATATCTAGACCGTATATTATCAGGAAGTGGGCCTCCAGGCCCACGGCGGCTGATACCGTACCTTACTAACCTGAACCCTAATTATGTCCTCGGCCGTCCTGTGTTCAGGATCGATTGTCGAGGCCAGATGCAGTTTTTGCTCAGAATACTATCGAGGTTGATGATTATGAATGAAGAGAGGATGATGGCGCTGCTGGGAAAAAGTCGGCCCGAACCTTGCTTGGAGAGAAGATAAAAAAGTCAGTGAAGGCTACCCATATGTACCGTCGGAAGGATTCGAACCTCCACATTCCTCCTTGCAGATATTTAAGGGCCCGAGGTTGTGCATAATTGGGGGTGGCCTCCCGGCCCACGACGGCTTAAGTATTTGGGCCTCGGATACTCGTGAATTCGCGCTGGCTCTTCGGAGGAATGGTCGAAAAAGATTAGTCTCTCCAGACAGACCACCCATTCGTAACCTCATTACATAAGGGATTCGTGATTGTGTGCGTGCCAACACAGTCGGTTTTGCAAGGTGGCAATATGGCGATGTATGTCTGGACTAGGGATGCTCGCAAGAAAAAGAAAGGGTCAAACTCCCCTCTTATGCCATCGGGAGGAGTCGAACCTCCGCTTTCCTCCTTGCAAGCAAGGTGATTTCTGTATTCAACCCAGCTCGAATGAGGCTGAGGATACGACCCGAGAACGCAATGGTAGACGAGAGAGATCATCGTTGTCGTCGGGTCGATTGGATTAGGCTTGGCCAACGAGCGGCGGGGACAGTAGAAGGGTGGGATAGAGCCAACATGACTAGGAAGGGTTATGTGAAGGGAAAATAAAAAGTCAGAGGCACAGAAGCCACGCCACCGGGAGGAATCGAACCTCCGCTAACCTCTTTACAAAGTGAGTGAGTCCGGTACTTTGAATCTGTGAGGGGGGGCCGCCATGGCCTACGACGGCTTGTTCAACCCAGCTCGAATGAGGCTGAGGATACGACCCGAGAACGCAATGGTAGACGAAAAGGATCGTTGTTCGTCCCGGGGCTAGATAGATTCTGTTGACGAACGGCGCCGGTGTGTAGGTGCACCTTGGTGATGGGGTCACAGAAGGGGAACTAAGGAGCAGATAAAAAAGGGGTTATAGTGACGGCCAATGCCGCCGGGAGGAATCGAACCTCCGCTTTCCTCTTTACAAAGTGATTGGGTCCGGTACTTTGAATCGGTGAGAGGGGGCCGCCATGGCCCACGACAGCGTCTTGTTCCTCGCTTAGATGTTGTTGAAGGTGCAGCTTGATCAGGACGAGCGCTCGATGATAGATGTGGGTGAGGCGGGAAGTACAATTAACTTTTGGACAGGAACGGCAGTGCGAGAGATCCAGGTCACAGAAGGGGAACTGGGGAGCAGATAAAAAGAGGTTAGGGTTAGAGTGACGGCGAGTGCAGTCGGGAGGAATCGAACCTCCGCTTTCCTCCTTGCATGTTGAAGAAATTTTTACAATTTTCAGGAGGCGGCCGCCATGGCCCACGACAGCTTCTTGAGATACAGCTTAATGGGCGGATGATAGACGCGGGAGGGCAGATGGGAGATGAGAGCCGGGAATTACAATTGAGTTTTGAAAGGGAACGGCAGGAGGATCAGAGGTGCGGGAGAACCAGATACGCGGGAGAATCGCAGCAGCCGCGGGAAAGCTCGAATCGGAACATGAGGGACGCCGGACTCAGTTTGTGCTGAAAGTGAGAACCCGCGAGAGGGAGTATCATATATGGCAAAAAAGTCTGTCAATTCGGAATCAGGCCAGTTTCGGCTGAGAAGTAAGGCGCAACAAGACTGTAAGAAGGAAAGGGGAGTTCCGTGAAATCACGGACTGGAAGTACCAAGTACAAAGGGGGATGGAGGGAAAGGGGTACGCTACCGCACCGTGTGCATAATTTGTGAAACCACCGTGCTATCTCTAAGCCTCCGCCTCCATAAGCAGCACCTTCTCGTCCTTCTCCCTCACCTCCACCGGCGCCTCTGCCACGACGGGCAACACGGGCGCCTCCTCAGCGGCGGGCGCCGCAGGCTTCTTGTACCTAAGCCACGCGACGAACAGCAGCGCCAAGAACGCAGCAAACACGACCTCGAGGCCGCGCAGGACGTAGAGCGCCACCGCGAGGACGTTGTCGAGCGCGGGGCGGTCGAAGGAGACGAGCTCGTTGAGCATGACTTGGCGGGTGAAGAAGTAGGTGAAGGAGAGGAGGGAGAGGACTTTGCTGACGATGGTGGGCTTGGCTTTGTCGGCGGCGGCGGGGGTAGCGTCTGCGGCGGCGGCGGGAGGAGTGAGGGGGGCTTCGGCGTCCGCGGTGCCGTCCTCGAGCGAGATGGGCCCAGTGGCGGGGCTAGCGCGGCGGGTGAACAGGCGCACGAGGCCCTTGCGCGAGCTGTTGGTCAAAGAGCCAAACAGGCCGACGGCCATGACGAAGCATAGCGCGCCAAAACCGCGCGAGATGGTGTCGGTGACCCAGACGAGCGCCTCAGCGACGGGGGCGGCCTGCGGGTAGTACGCCTCGATGAGGACGGGGGTAAGGATGAGGAAGACTGCGATGAGGCAGCCAGCCAGATAGGCTTTGACGTAGACCTTGGGGGTGCACGCCATGATGAACAGTGTACTGGTAAATGTAGTGAGTGGGGAGGAGGATGAGTGTTGTGGAGAAAGAGACTAAGAGACCGCGCGTCTCGGCATCATGATATGATGCACACAGCTTCACCACCGGTTACCGTTGTCTCGGTTGTGCGAGCGGTTGTGTGAGCGTCTATTCGATTTTTCATGATACAAAGAACCCAGAGTAACCAGAATTTGCGGGAGCAACGAGGCAAATAAATCGCATAGAGCATCATTCCAACTTGGTTCAACTTCGGTTGAACATCGAATGCCGACGCTTGCCGTCTGTGCCGGCATGCCGGCGATCACCGCCTAACCCTGCCGACCTATCTTTAACCTCAACCGAACACCAGCCCATTACTGTGCATGTAGAGCGCTCGAGCCCTCGTTCGGCGCAGTCTAGACGTGAAGGTGTCACTCAAACAAATTGACATTCTCTACCGCGTTCAATCATCAATGGTACAGTTTTCCAGGCAAGTGTATCGCATAAACAACCCGCCATGGCCGTGGTTGACCTACCCTCAAACACAGGTCCTTAACGATAATCGAGCGAAGGTAGACGGGGGTTCGACTCCTCCCCGCGGCATCTGCAGGCTCCATCGAATCTTTTGTTGACCCAAGGTCAGCCTCGTTTCCAACGCGGTGGACAGGCAGGTGCGCACACGCCCTCAAGGAAGTGGATCGTCTATCATAGCCGAGCTGTATGCAGGTGGAGGAAACTCACGGACATAATCTATTGCAAGTCAGACAGCGGCCACCAAAGCTACACAATAACTCACGATTCAGGGCGGCGCATTGCACTGTTTTGTACCATCCACACCCTCAAGTCGCCTGGGCAACGCAATCCAGCCACCAATTTTCCGAGGTTCAATCTGAGCAGAATATGTCGTCGTGAGCCTGGTGGCGTCTCCACCTGGAGTGTCGCCGGACGAACGGTGGAAAACGGAGGTTCGATTCCTCCCGATGACATCCGTGTACTATGTTGAATCGACGCGCCATTTCTTTTTCTGTTCTGGCCCTCGTGTCAAGAGGTGAGCGCGAAGATGCTTGCTTTGAGGCACTGTCACTGGGTAGGTACTTGCAGCAAAAGATTTCGCAGCCGGATATTAATCCTGTCTCCAATTCAAACTTGCGGGTATAATGAACTTGAAGATTAAGTCAAGGCTCTCAGCCAGTGAAACACATCGTCGTCAGCCGTGTAGGCAGGTCGCCTGACAGAAATCACGGGCCCGGTGGGCAGGCAGAGGGTTCGATTCCTTCCGATGGTATAGGCTCTGGGTCGTTAGCGGCTTTTTTTTGTGACCTCAGGCCTGCAGGTCGGTGCTCATCCCTTTCAATAGCGTTTATCCTAGTCTCTATAGCCAGACAAGTATATAGGGGGTTTTCTTTCTGAGGAGAGAGGTAAAAAAAAAAGAAACCGGTTCGGGCATCAATTGCCTCCAAGATCTCATGGCAACGTGGATCATTACGAGAGCGCTCAGCACATAGTTGTCGATCAACGTTCAACTTTCATGTTGGTAAAAGTAACCGTCGTGGCCCTGGAGGCTGCCTACACAAGATGAACTCTTCAACCTCACGTAATAATGAAGGCAGAAGGAGGTTCGAATCCTCCCGGCGGTATGACCTTGAAGCTTCAATGATCAATACAGCCAACACAATGCTGCGTGTTCCGGTCGGGCATGACTACGCTGCCGACACTATTTCCAATTTTCTCTATGCCAGTCTCTTTCTCAGTCGCACCCCACAGTGCCGAAACTCCGTGAGCAAGATACCACGCCCTGCTTCATTATAATGAATGGATGCAGGCTGAAAGGAGACAAAGGACGAACCACAAACTAGTCCGTCTCATGGCGTTCGAGTTGCCAGCGCAATTTCCGGTCATCGCGCAGCTGCAAAATGTGCGCCAATACAGAATCCTCGATCTGCGGCTCCTGTGCTGTCTGCCAAGATAAATCCATTTCGAATGGAACACCGCCCTTTCTTCCTGAATGCAATCGCGAGGTAATGAAAACCAATAGCGCCTGGCTGCGGAAAGAGAAAAATGATGCGAAACGCATCGACGATAGATGTGGTACAAGGCAGGACGAATCGGCCGTCCAAGTCAGCCGCCGGAGAAGGCTGTCTGTGACGAGCATGTGTGTGACGAGCATGCCTGTGACGAGCACGTTCTCGCTGAAATCTTGGATGAACAGTTCCGCAAGCGCATCCATCTCGGAGAGACATGCGGCGAGATCGTCCTCAGAGATGACCGTGTCGTGGAGGGAAAGGCTCGTAAGCCCACTGGGAAAAGACGACTGGGAAGCGAACGCGGGGAAGTGATCCCGCGGCCAGTGAAAGCAGGACCAAATAGTCAGCTTTTGCAAGCGGGGAAGGGTGAGTGCTTTCAGAATTTCGCCTAGTCGGGCCCTACTGCCGTCCAGTGAGAGGGAAAGCGCCTGAATGTCAGAAACGACAGCTGCGAGAGGAGGCTGATGGGCGAGTAAGCCGAGATCTAGGCGGTATACGTTAAAAACGCATCCACTAGAACAGGCACCCATGATCGTCAGAACGGACAGGATCTCCGATGGGTCTTGATGAAGAAAGTAAAAGTCAACCTGGCGCAGCTCAGCCCAAGGCAGGTCAGGAACCATGCCTTGGCTTATCGCAAGTGTGACGTGCGTTAGCTTGGAGGCCGTGCTGAACAGATTGGAGCGAGGACCGAAACCTCCGATTTTGAGGCGCTTGAGGTTGGAAAAGTTGCCCCTGGAACTCGATAACGAATCTGCAGCTGCTTTGTTCAGGTAGATATCCGCTGTTTGCCAACGGGCACTGTGCTGGGCCAACAGCTCAAGTGCGCCTCCGTCCATACTGTTGCCAATGCAGCCGACAGCCAACAGACAGGAGCCTGATCTCTCCAATGACCGCGATAGAAGCGCTGTCGTGCGCTTCGCCTGGCCACCCGGTTCAGGGCAGTCCACTGCGATGGTGGCCCACAGCCACGGGGTTTGCATGATGATATCACGCCAGTGAGAGGACGCCTGTGAGAGCCGTAGCAGATGCGACTGGGAGCTCCGGCCAAACATATCACCTGGGGTTTCCTCCATAGGGTCAAAGAAGGAGACCTGCCCAGGAGAACACAGTGCAAAGATTTCCGTGATAATTTCTGTGGGAAGACGGCGGATCGGAGAGAACAGACTGCGACACCCAGCGGTGTAGTCCAGTAGCTCAGCACGTTCTGAGGTCATCCGATCGAGAAGCCGTTGAAGCCGCCGAATTTCCGTATCATACCGCGCAACTTCTGAGCGAGACGACGCGATAACGACGTCGAAGCGAGATCGGTCCACTGGCACGCTGTTCGAGCGCAGAAGAGACATGAGCTGCTGTTTATCAGCCGGTGTTGGCAGGAGCGATGAGGACAAGAAGGGTCCGCCGGTGCTGATCGGGGATTCCATGGTGGCTGGTGGTGGCAGAGGTCAACGCGCACTCATGTTTTGGGCTGTTTGAATGCAAGCTCACTGCAAGCCGAGGTGCCGCCCGGGGCGGCCCCGGGCCGCGGGCCAAGGATAAATCGGAGAATCAGGATCACGCAAGATTGATCCTGTGTCTGCAAGCCCCACTCTCGGACGATCTTG